TTTTTTGTGGATTTGAGAGCTACTCCAATGTTTTTCTTCTTCTCCTTCTCCTTTGGTGTCTCTTCAATCTTATCAAGGTCCACCTCATCTTCAAGCATCATTTCATGAGTGAGGAGTGAACCGATTAGCTCATCAAGAGTTAAGGATGTTAGATCCTTAGACTCGATGATTGTCGTCTTCTTTGATTGCCACGATTTTGGGAGGGAGTAAACTAACTTCCTCAGAAGCTTTTCATTTGAAATGATCTCTCCATATGATTTGAGACCATTGACAATCGTTGAGAATCTATCCGTCATAGCTTTGATATATTCATTTGGTTTCATCCTGAAATTTTCATAGCTATGCGTTAGAATACTAATTTTAGATTTCTTTACCTCATCGGTACCTTCATGAGTGACTTGAAGTTTATCCCATATTTCTTTGGCGGTTGTACAAGATGAAACTCTTCTGTATTCATCTGGTCCAAGAGCACAAAATATGATATGGATGGCTTTGGAGTTGAGTTGGAACATTTTTGTCTCTTCTTCACTCCATAATCTTGGATGAGTGAGAGGCTTCTTCTACGACATTCCATGCTCACATGTCACTTGCTTGAATGAAGTACACCATCCTATTTTTCCAATAGGCATAATTAACCCCATTGAAGAAAGGAGGCTTGTTGACGGGCATCGAATCGAGACCGGAGTCGAAGTTTGAAGTAGAGGCCATTGATGACTTTGATTATCGATGTAACTCTTCCCAAATTGACTCAAGAGGCGATTAAAAATTCAAATGAGTTAGGCTTTGATGTCAATTATTGAGTTAATCGATTGAAGGAATTGGCCAAGAGGGGGGTGAATTGACAATAAAAATTTTGGTGGAAGCTTTTGCAGAAAATTGAAAGAAATTGCACAGCGATTTAGAGTGGTTCGACTTTCTCAACCAAAGTCTACGTCCACTACCTTAGCTATCCACACTGAGGATTTTCCACAAATTCACTAATTTGTCTTTCTTTTGAGGACAAAGAGTAACCTCACAAACCCTCAAGAATTATACCCCAAATTCTTGAGAACACTCTCTCCCAAAGAGAACAATACAAATTTGCAAACTTACAAGGAAATCCTTACAAGGTAGATTGTTTGCATAATTCTATAACAAAGAAAAGAACACTCAAGAATGAATACAATTGAGCACAATAAGTGTTCTTGAAAGCAAAATGAATATTGAATGAAAAATAGGCTTGAAATGCTCAAACTTGAGGTTTGATGCTTTCTCTTTGATTCTCTCTTGATTCTAGTTGCTTGATGTTTCTTGTTATTGATCAATGGCTTCTAATCTTGCTTAAATACACCTTGAATCACTTCTGAACGTTGGGGATCATTAATGAAGATAATATAGCTGTTTTAGTGTGAAATCAATTAATAAAATAGTTTGGAGCGTGGGGGGAATCGGTTCCCTAAGTGTAAAATTCAAATATTTCGACCGTTACACAGGGGGGAATCGGTACCCCTGGGGCGGAATCGGTTCCATCCGAGCATACTGGAATTCTCGGAGCCAAACCATTCAGGGGGAATCGGTACCCCCTTGGGGGGAAATCGGTTCCCTCTGAGCAATCTGGAATTTTTGGCTTTGAGATGGTTCGAAATATTTTGTAAAATCGTTTTGAAATTATTTTAAGATTAAAACTTAATTTTACACTTGAGTAAGGATTAAAAATGACATTTGAAAGATTTGGATTAATATTTTGATATTCAAATAATTATATCGAATATACTTAGAAAATCTTTTTGGAAAATCTTAAAATTCATTTAACTTAATTTGTTATATCGAAATATCAAAATGTTTTCAACATTCATCAATTTCAATATCTAGGTAATTGGTATATTTTTTAATATTTTATTTTACTGTTAAATATAATTCAATTTTTTTGTATAGTTTAGATGGTTTCGTCATTTTTATTTTAATCTGTACTTTGGCATTTTTACATAGTTGTATTTGCTATGGTTTTAGTTTTAGGGTCTCTTTGTTCTTACCCAAAGTAGTTTCATTTTTATATAATTGAATATTTTATATAGTTGAGATGGTTTGGTCAAACTCAAATAGAGATTATGAGATCTGATTTGTTAGCTGTCGGAATGCTTGCGCCCACACTTCAATTTTCAGGTAAACAATATTTTAAGTAAATAAAATAATTATATAATTTTAACTATGACAATTAGCGTGCTAATTATTATTTTAGCTTCAAATGATACCACAAATTCATCATCAACAGACTCACAGTCGACACAAGATTTGGATTGAGATTCTCACAAAACTTTATTCCACAAGTCATAGTATGGTCATATTATTTTTATTTTCTTTGAACATTTAAGTGTTTTTATATTTATAAAAATGACGTTATTATGTTTTCTAGTGAAATATTCGTATAAATTTTATTATTTTAGAATAAGAAAACTATGTTATTTTTTCTTTAGATTAATATAAGTATTTTCATTTTAATATATATTGTCATATTATGGTGACAATCTTTATTTTGTCACAATATTGGAGAAAATTGTATATGGTGACGTTATGCATAATCATCATTCAAAATACTATTACATAACATTATATTATGTCACTAAAAATTGGACAATATCTCTTTCGTAACATATAGGTTGATTTTATTGTAGTATTCGTGACGATATAAATTATTAATAAAAATATTATATAATTTAGTGACGTAACTAACAGTCATGCAATATAAGTTATAAAATGATGTTATGCATAAGTGTCATTCATAATACTATTAGGTAACGTTATATTACGTCACTGAAAATGTGACAATATCTCTTTCGTCACATATAGATTGATTTTAATGTATTATTCATGACAATGTGAATTATTAATAAAAAAAAATTATATAATTTAATGACGTAACTAGTTGTCATTGAGTATCAATTATATAGTGATGTTATGTATAAACGTCATTTATATTGCTAATAGGTGACCATGTAATCACTAATATTGTGATAACTTTTTCTTTCGTCACGTATACAAAAAAATTATTGAGTTATTCGTGACGATATGGCTTATCAATGACGAAAATGCACATTATTTGGTGACATAATTAATTGTCATTGAATGCAAATTATAATGTGACATTATCCATTAACGTCATTATATGTTTAATAATACGTGACGAAATCTTATACATCGTCACATTTGACATTTAGTGACACACCTAGGGTGACGTTCGCAGTGACGTCAATTTTTATGTCACAAAATACAAATAGTGACATAAATGTATGTTTCAGTGACAATATTTTAGATGCCACAAATAATCAAATTTGTTGTAGTGAGCTTGTTGTCGAAATTGGGAAGGAAAAATGTTACCATCGGAGAAGTCCTCAACTCAACGGAAAAAGGGAAAGGTTCGAGAAGCACTCGTCGATGAGGACATCGACTAATTTGGTGGGGTAGAATGTCGTGGTCGTCCCTTTCTTATGTGGCCACACCCGGATAGGTATGCCAAGGCCAACCATGTATAGGGTCTATTAGCAGGGTATAATAAGCTTGTCCTCTTTTCAAGCATTTCAATGTTTAGGTAGAGAATGTGGGGTAGGATATATAATCCCCAGTTCGAGCATATATATATACTATAATTGATTGCATAATAATTTTTTTAATTAATTTAGTTATGTAATTGTGATAAAATATTTAACACTGGTAAGGATGATATTAGTGTCTAAATTTTTGTCGTTGTTATTAATATTTTAGTGTCAAAAATTGTAGTCACAAAAAATACAAGTAATTGTGATAATTCATTAAAGTCATCACTAATATAATAGTGACGGAGATATTGTTAATAGTATCGAACATTTGGTCACCAAAATACACTTACTGTGACAACATTGGTAGTCGTAAAATATATTTTTAGTGTCAAATAAATTTATCACAATTCCTATTGATAATAGTATCAAACATTTAGTCACTAAAAATACTTAGTGTGACAATATTAATGGTCACAAAATATATTTTTAGTTTTAAAAAATCGTCACAGTGCATATTGATAATTGTGTCGAATAGATGGTCAGAAAAAAGAACAATTGTGACAAGTTTTAGAATAATTGTCACTAATGTAATAGTGGCGGAGTTATTAGTGACGGAGTTATTAGTGACGACTTGAAAATTTTATAACTATGCATTTATTGTCTAAATTTAATGCTATTAGTGACCATTTGCATTGTCACTAAAGGTGCATTTTCTTGTAGTGACCGATTTGTTATAAAACGATAATATTAGTGATCATTTTATAACTTTTGAAACTTCAATAAAGAAAACTAAAACTTACTTAAACTTTAGTGATCCTTTGTGTAGTTTAACATTATATTAATTTGGTTAACTGTCACATCATCTCTTTCATCAAATATTAATAATCGGTGGCTTGATTAATATTATTTATATAGTTAAGTGATCTTATTGATCAAATTAAAATCATCTCATAATTAACTTATCATGAGTATAATTTACCCTTAGTTTTAAATTTTCCATTAATTTCGGTTATAGAATTTTTTTTAAAACTATATAATTTTAACAGTGGAGTGTTCAGTGGGTGGAAAGGGTGAGATTAGCAAGTTTGTCTGCAAGTGAGTAGGAAAATGCTAGGAAAATAGAGAAGAGGACTTCATGCTGCTCTTACGCACCATACTATGTCGTTTTGCGCCTAATGGATTGGGTCCACCACCGACCTCCCTCCTCCTCCATCTCTCTCAAACTTTCATTCAATTTTGATTTCGCAATTTCAAAACAAACCAACCAAAACCAATCATCTAAAAGTTAAATGGAAAAGGAAATCTGGTTGAGACGATGACGATGATATATATGTGTTAGTATCTCTGCAAGATACCAAATAAGAGAAAAGAAAAAACAATTTCAGTTTATTCACAATTTGGCATTTAAAAGCACCAAAATGTCCATAGCTTAGATTTTCTCTTTTTCTTCCTTTTTTTTTTTTTTTTTGCTCTTCTGCTTCTCTCATCAAACTTTCTTTTGGTTTCAACAAAGTACAAACCTTTGGCCTTTTCAGATGAGATTTCAATGTGGATTTGCTGTTAGATTAATGGGTTTTTCGAGGAGAAGTTAAATTCGGAGAAGATTAACAGCAACCGAAGAAGGTGAGGTTTCTGTTGTTTAAAGATGGCGGCTGCACCTTCTTCTTCAGGTCATTTCTTTGGAATTGGAGAAGAAAATCAGAACCAGATGAAAATACTTCATTCTTCAACCGGACCGCCGGTTGATCCACCACCGCTGCCTCAAAAGAAAAAGAGAAACCAGCCTGGAACTCCAAGCAAGTATCCAATTACCCAAACCCTAAATTCTGATAGTTTGTTTTAGTGATGACAAAGGATTAATGGATTTATTATTATTATTATATGATGACAGATGCGGAGGTGGTGGCACTATCTCCCAAGACTTTAATGGCGACAAACAGGTTCATCTGTGAGGTGTGCAACAAAGGGTTCCAAAGGGAACAAAATTTACAACTTCACAGAAGGGGACACAATCTGCCATGGAAGCTAAAGCAGAAGACAACGAAAGAAGTGAAGAAGAAGGTTTATCTTTGCCCAGAACCGACCTGCGTTCACCACGATCCCTCGAGGCCACTCGGCGACCTCACCGGCATCAAAAAGCATTACTCCAGAAAACACGGCGAGAAGAAATGGAAGTGCGACAAGTGCTCGAAGCGGTACGCCGTGCAATCCGATTGGAAAGCTCATTCAAAGACCTGTGGCACCAGAGAGTACAGATGTGACTGTGGCACTCTCTTCTCAAGGTATTTTCGAGCTTAATTCTCTAGGTTTAGATTCATCAATCGAATTTAAAGCTTAAACCCATCTTCAAGAAGGAAGAAATTGAAACAGTTCATCTTTTGCTTGTACATGGAAGTTGGAACCACCGTCTCCTTTCTTTTCATATTCACGTGATGCTTTGCCATGTATAGTTCTTACCACATTTGTTGTTTTGTGGGTTGGCTAGACATGTTCAGGTCTGTGCTCTTGCAGGTATCCATTCTTATGTATAGCTTCGGTATCGATTAAGGTGAATATTGACTGAGCCGAAACAGTAAAATAACCACCGTCATTTAGAATACGAGAGATTTATAACTGGGAAATTCAGATAAATTCCTCAGTTTCTGCATTTATTGAAAGGCAAAAAAGTCCTGGATTGGGTTTGTTTATTCATCACTTTTCACCTGCTTGAATACATTCTCTTGTTGCATTTATTGAACATCCAGTTATTGAAATGGTCAAATTTGATTGAATCATTTTCAAAGTTGTCCAGTGATTAGTTCAAAAATTCTTTGTTTTATCCACTGCCTGTATCTAATGGATTGCTTGCTTACTGTGTTGCAGACGTGACAGCTTTATCACTCACAGGGCATTTTGTGATGCATTGGCTCAAGAAACTGCAAGGCAGCCTCCTCCTTTTAACTCCATTGGCACTCATTTATATGAAAGTAGCAGCAATTATATGAGCTTAGGGTTATCTCAAGTGGGAACTCAAATTTCATCTATTCTAGACCACAATAATAACCAAACCGCTGAGATTTTGAAACTTGGTGGTTCGAGGAGTTCGCAATTGGATCATCTTCTTCAACCGTCGATGGGTTCATCATCGTTCTCGTTTAGACCTCAAGAACAGCAACAGTCGATGGTTACTTCACCAGGTTTCGTCATGCAAGAATCCAATCAGATTTTCAACCAAGAACATCATGGGTTGTTGTTGGGAAGCAACAAATCATTCCAAGGATTAATGCAGCTTCTTGAGAACAGTTGCACCACTCCATCGGCGGCCGGTCTCTTCAACCTCAGCTTCCACTCGAACAGCGGAAGCACCAATGGTGGTGGTGCAGATTATAATTTAGCGTATTCGGGTTTGCTGATGTCGGATAATTTCAACAACGACAATGGCGGCAACGGTGGTGGTGGCGCAACAAACAAAGGATCGAATATCTTCTCCAACAACTTGATGAGTGATCAAATCACTTCCAACATCCCTTCTTTGTTTAGTTCATCGGTTCAAAACAATAACATGGTGCCTCAAATGTCGGCCACCGCATTGCTTCCAAAAGCTGATCAAATGGGTTCGAGTTCCAGCAACAAAAACAACAATAATAACAACAACGACGATGAAGATTCTCTTCTAAGAAGCTTCGGAACATCATCTTCAACCGGAACTAAATCCTCAAACTTGGGAAGGATTTTCGGGGAAACTACCGCCGGCAACAATCTACATGAACTAATGAACTCCATAGCCAGTGGTAATTCCCCCATTTTCGGAATCTCCGCTGGAGTCAATACATTTAACACTTATGCAAACAGAAGTAGTATGCAACATGAAAAGCTACAGCCGCATCAGCAAAGTTTGAATGTTAGCGGTGGCGGGTCAGACAGATTGACTCGGGACTTTCTCGGGGTCGGCCAAATAGTTAGAAGCATGAGCGGAGGAGCTAAACAACAACAAGAGGAAGAAGGAATCGGAAACACAAATATTACGGCGCCGACAAGCCACCAATCTTTCGGAGGACGTGGGAATTTCCAGTGACGAAACAAATCCAAAAACAAAGAAGAAAAAAAGGAGAAAAAATATTAAGAAAATACAAAGGTATGTAATGTAAAATAAAAAAATATGAATTTTAAAAGTTTTTTACTTTGGTTTCATCGCTAAATATGTCTTTAATTTAACTTATAAAATTACTTTTGGAGTTTCTTTAAATTCTCTGCCACACTGTGTTGCATGAGACAGTCATGAACCGTGTGGTACATATGGGTTTTGTTTCTTTTCTTGTCTATCTGTTTCTTTTAAATTATTTTAAATATATATATAACTTTTTTCATGGGATGACAATGTCACGAGTGTTGCCCTCAAAGCATCTAGATTCCCTAAGTAAAATATCCATCTTTTCTTCTTTGGCCATGCATCAATCATCATCATTCCCTCTTCTTTTACTATTAATTATTACAATGATTTCCCCCCATCACAAACTATATTAATTTCATTGAAATTTGTTCCGTGAAAACATTCGCGTTTTTCGATAATTATAGCTTCTGCTTAATTTCTAGGGTAGACTACTTATTTACTTGTATAATTTTCATTTTGATTTTCCTTTGTCACTTTAACTATTTTTTTAAATCATATATATTATTACATTTTAATTTTATTTTGATAATCTATCATTAAAAAATGCATAGAACTGTTGATGTAACAATCTTTTTCAATGATAACATGGTTAGAGGTGAGCGTTTGATCGAATCGAGTAAATTTTTTTAGTTATTCGAATTGATGATCTTATTTTAGAATTCAACTTAATTTGAAATTTTTTTCGAGTCGAGAATAGTCGTTCGAATTTATGTTTAAATTTAGTTGTTAATATTTATAATATTCTTTTATATATATATATATATATATATATATATATATATATATATATATATATATATATATGTGTGTGTGTGGTGTGTATATTTGTGTGTGTGTGTGTTTCTTTATATTTTTTCATATATGATATATATATATATATATATATATATATATTATATACAGAGTTGAGGCTCGAGTGACTCGACTCAAACTTGACATTCAATTCACCAATTACTAAAAATTTTGAGTTATTCGAGCTACTATTTGAGTTATTTGAGTTGTATTTTATAACTTGATTCAAATTTAAATTTTTTGAGTAGAGTCGAGTTTATGAAATTACATCTGGAAGTTAATTCTAGTTGAGTTTTTTTCCAGGTCGAGACGAGTTGAATAGATTGATTTTTCGAGTCAATACAAGTTTTGCTCACCCTTAAACGTGTCATTACCTTATGGTGACACGTCATCATCACCGCTAATTTTTTAACATCAAGTGATTAAACGGAATTAAAACATAACTTTAAGTAAGATTTTAAAAAAGTAATAGTTGGGTGACAAAAAAAACCTAAATAATAGGTTGATGACTAAATATGCAGTTTTCCAAATCCGGGTCTTTTTTTTCTTTTTGTATCACCCTCCCCTATGAAGGCGTGGCATTTTTATTGTTACGTACGAGGTTCTTTACTGTGCATAAAAAAACTAATGTAAACAATAAATATACTTTACCTTTTTTATCGGATTTGTTTAAGGAAAGACAGACAGACTAATATACAACCAAGAAATGTCGTGACCAGAAATTTAATAATATACTTAACAAAGTTGGTTAAGTGTTACCATAAATGTTGACTAATAATAATGTTCTAGGTGAAAAACATAAAGAAATATTAAAAATTTGGCAACCGAAAACTTTACTTATCGATAGGTATCGATACATTGCACAGAAGTATCAATATATATAGTAATATATAAGAAAGTTAAAGAAATTCGGTTAAAAGTAGACATGTATCGATACATTTATAGGTATATGTATAAAAGTATTGATACTTTAGTAATTTAAAAGAATTGCAATAAAAGCGCCTAAAAAGTATCGATATCTTACACACATGTATCGATACATGACAATATAACAGGTTGAAATTTGACAAATCCAGTTTCAAATTGACAAAAAAGGTAAAGAATTTGACAAAATTGGTTGGAAATTGACAAAACCGATTGACATTTGATAAAACCGGTTTCAATTTGACAAATCTGGTAAAAAGATACCGAAATTATTGACAGTATCGATACTTTTATAAGTATATGTATCAAAGTATCTATACTGTAAGAATTTAAAACAATTGCAATAATAGCGGCTAAATAGTATCGATACCTTACACACATGTATCAATATATGACATAACAGGCTGAAATTTGACAAAAACGAATTCAATTTGATAAAACCAGTAAAGAGATACCGAAATTGTTGACAGTATCGATACTTTTATAAGTATGTGTACCAAAGTATCGATACTATAAGAATTGAAAAGAATTGAATAATAGTGCCTTTAAAGTATCGATACCTTAGAAACATGTATCGATACCTTAGAAACATGTATCGATACATGACAATATAACATGTTGAAATTTGACAAAATCGTTTTCAATTTGACAAAACCGATAAAGCGCTACCAGAATTCTTGAAAGTATCAATACGTTTATAAGTATATGTACCATAGTATCGGTACTTTCGGAATTGAAAAGAAATGAAAAAAGGAAAACATCTCGAAAGTGTCAATACCTTACACAAAAGTATTGACACTTGGGAATGGTATCAATTAAATATAAATAAGCGTAAATACCAAGTATCGATAATATATATATAGGTATTCATATTTTTATTCCAGTATGCTTCTCAAACAATTTGCACACAAAATGTATCGATAAACATATATAAAGTATCGATACTTTTATATTTGAAACCTATCACTTTAAATTAATAGGTAAATTTACAATGTAAGCGGTAAAAGTCTACCAGTTTAATGATAATAGGCGTAAATTCTACGTATCAATACTTTTTATATAGATATCAATACTTTCGATCTAAACAACATCGATACTTTCAACACAAGTATCAATATTAAACCAATTAACATGTTAGATTATCAATATTTTACTGTTACATTATTATTAACCTATAAACAAATCGATACCAATGTTCAAGTATAAGGTCGTGCTTTGTTTTTATTCAGTAGATGTATCTTTTTTGTCTTAGTTAGTTAAAAAAAATCGATCCTCCATACTTGTATCGAAACGTCGCTCCCCCAAAAGGCAGTTATCTCTTCCACTTTGATGAATACCGTCGTTCACGAAAATTGCACCATTCAAGTTTCTTTAAATATCCCCTCTACATGAGACTTTTCTTGCAATTATTACTATAAGATTTGCAGGGAAATTTATACAGATTTTGCCCTAAATTAGGGTTTTAGTTATTTAGGGATTCAAAAGTTTTTTTCTTAATGTGTTTGTGTTTCATGTAACAGCCTCTATATTCACTCCTAAAAATGGCTCCAAATGTCTTATCAACCAAAACCTTCTTCTCAACCAAGGTCACCTTCTCAACCAAGTTTCTCAAGTAAAGTCTTCTGATCACATCTAGTCATTTAATACAAACAACTTTAGAACTGACGAAGATAAAGAAAAATTTTATTGGTATTTCAATGCAAGAAAGATTTTTCCCAAACGTGTTGTTGACATGGATTTCATGTTCAATGAAAAATAAAAATTTGATTTTAAATAGATATTTACATATTGGGGTTGGCTTGAATTTCTTGGTGTAGAACCAAAATATTTCCCAAACCTTGTTTGAGTGTTCTACAATAATGATTCATTCCACCGTAAGCCTAATAGGAACAACATCATCGAAATTAATACTCGTAATGGGGAAGGATATTTATATATCTCCAGAATCTATTATTGCGGGTATAAGTGTCGAGAATAAAGGGGATTCTGATGAAACTGATTTAGATCCTATAATTAAACGTGTTGATAGAAATAGCCTCATTCACCTAGATGTGGATAATAGAGTTTTTCACAAAATTCTCACTTCGTTAATTTGGCCTTCCGGTGGAAATTTTTCCATAATTCGAGATACCGATTATTGGTGGTTAGTGATGTATAGCTCAAAAACTGCTCCAAACATTGCACAACTGATATTTGAGACACTTGTTAATTTAGTCAAAAAGGGTGAATCCATTATAACTTCACTACCATATGGATGTGTTATTACCCATCTATTGAAGAAGAATGAAGTGGATTTTTCGTTTGACTACCCTGTTCGCTTATCCCGGAATGTTATCCATGACTAAAGTCGGATACGAATTTATTGAAAATGTCGGTTGGACTAAAAAAGATGGCATTGGAGCAGAACAAGAGAAAGAGCAATTGGACCCCATTGACAACGACTACTAGCAACCAATGGAAAACACTTCAATGGAAGAGGCTAGGGTTGAAGAGGATATTATAATGAAGTCAGTGATAAAGTACATGGTTAATTTTTAGAGCATTTTGATTCTCGTGTGGGCACACTAATGACCAAATCGGGGAAATATGAGCCGATATTTCATTATTGCGTGATGAAGTCTCCAACTTGCGTAACGAATTTTGTCAATGACATCATACAAGTTAGGTAATTCATTCTTTATATGCTGAATATTTTCAAGTTGTAAAATGTATTTGCTTTTCTTATAACAGCGGTGGAGAAGGAGTTGGACAACCAAGTGCTGAATGAAGAGGATGACATTGCAGATGATGATAATGAGGATGAAGATCCAAACAAATATATGGTGTCTGCAACACCACTGACAAAAAAACTTGTCATTTTTTATGTCAATAGAGTCCTTGCCTACTTTTCAAAAAAAATCAAAGGTTTTAAAATTGCTCATTTCTATACATTATTTTAACCTATAAACATACTATTTTAATGTAATTTTATTCATGTTGTAGATGTTATACTGAGCGCAGGTGTATATGAATTTCTTCATTTTTGTTTAGAAATTTTTGTTGTTGTCATTTGGTCTTTGAAGTTGAGGTAAGCACTGTTAAGCTATTGAATTACTATAGATAAATGGATAATTTACAACTGAATGTTTCTCGTGGTAATTGTTAACAATTTTAGGCATAACATTGATCGTGCACTTGACAAACTTCCTTTATTGTCTAACCACTTTATATTCATTTGGGTAAGATGCATGTTT